TTCACCTTTCATTTCCAAAACATCATTCCATTCACTAATCTTCAATTGCTCCATCAATTCAATACAAAAAGAATTTTTTTTTCAAACACCAAGGATAAAATAGTCTTAGCCCATTTATCCCTTTCTTCTCACCTTCAAAATAGTTATTTCATAAGTTACCCCCTTATTTCCACCTTCATTGCCAAAAAGGTCATTCCATCCATTTATCGTCAATTTCTCCGCTAATTAAATACAAAAAGTCAATTTTCTTTTCAGACACCAAGGATAAAATAATCTCAACCCATTTATCCCTTTCTTCCCACCTTCAAAATAGATATCCATTAGTAACAATATCTTGAATATGAAAATAATTTATAAAATTACTACATTTAATAAAGAAAAAATGGCATAAAGAAACATTGTATTTCACAACAATGACTACTGTAATGGTGGATTACAGTAGTCATTGTTGATCGATAAAGGCAGTCGACCAAGAAAAATGTTCGATGATCGCTTGCACTATGATAGTCAAGTCAACGACCAAACCACATACAATATGAGTGCAAAAGCTGAAGAGGAGATTTGCCTAAAGGTAGGTTTTGCATATCTTGAATGTGAATGGACTCACATATATATGGTGAAATAAAAATGGGTTGAGTTCCAAGTCCAAGATAAGGTTTCTTGATTTAATAAACCCAATCTAATTAAATAATCGATGCAAGTCAATATAGGTGGGATCCTCTCCATTTGCGTATGCCACTTAATTAATAGATGTAACAATAGTTTCAATTTCTTAATTTAATAGGCCCATCCTATTAAATAATCGATATTAAGTCGTTATATGTAGGACCCTCTTCGCGTAAGCCATATATATGTATGTGAGAGAAAGAGAGATAAATTTTGAAACTACATTAAATTTCAAATATAGAGGAAAATCTATAAAATTTTAAAAGTAATACGAATTAGTTTGCATGAGAATGTTAGATATATGGCTAAATCAAATTCATGACGTAGCTTAATATTTATTATTTAGGAACCCAATCAACAATGTACAGACAGACAAGAGTGAGACTGGGTGTCACCTTAACAGTTGTAGGAAAAATGAATTATTAAGTGGATGTTTGGTATTGATTTTTTTTTTCAGAAAATCAAAATTTTGACCATTATTTCATTATTTTAGGCGTTATTTTTTACTTCTTCTTTCATAGGTAGAATTCACTTTTCTATCTAACGGTCAAAAAATCAATTTTCAAAATCACTCTTGAACAAGTCCTAAATAAAATTTTGTCTCAGCAATTTTCTAATAAGTTGATTCCAACCCAACGTTGCAATAAATTTGTAAAATTGTTGATTTATGCCAAATTTTGTAGAAGTACTTTTGGAGAAAGCTATTACAATTTTTGTTTGAAAATTAATATTTAAAAGTATTTTTCATTCTGTAAGTACTTTTAGAGGAAGTCATATTTAACCAACATTCTCTAAAAATTCTTTTAATTATCAAAAATACTTTAATAAAATTAACTAAAAAGGATCCAAAAACAACATTTGGGTTTCAAAATCTCTTTTGACTCTTCAAAAACCATGTCAAACGAGCATGTTTTGAGATTACGACGGTCCGTTCTCTCTCATCTCTCCTCTATATATATATATATAATAATCTTAGGCAGCATAGTACTACATTATCCTTTCTGTGGAGAGAGAGAAAAATAAGATTTAAGCCAATCTTCAACCATCTCTGAAAACAGAAAAGATCAATCCAAGTTGCATTTATATCGAAATTATTTGCAACGAATCGTGGTAAGGAAAATCTTGCTCTTTTGCACTTTCTTTCAATTAATTACATCATTCACATTGTTGTTCAACGTGGCTTTATGGCAATTTAATGAGCCATATATTTACTTGGAATTTATTTTGTATGAACCTAACCTAACCTTGGATGATTAACCCTCAAGTTGTTGGCATATTCTCTCTACCTGAATGTTAATATTTTTGGTGGTAATTTGCAGATTTTAACATTTCATTATTCAACTAAAGATTAAGTTTAATGCCTCAGTTTGATGACTTCTGAATGTTTGTTTTATTTTCAGAGGAATGGGAGTCACTTTTTCCTGTCCATTTGCCAATTTTGATGATTTAGATAGTCAATCTGAGTCTCATTTGGCTAGATCTATAAGTTCCGGAGGCAGCGATGAGAAAATTTCACGATCCAGTAGCTTCAACGCTCGAGGTTCTGAACCTACTACATTGAGAAAGGTGATACTTGAAGGGTCTTTTAGTTTCAATGGGAGGGAACTAGAGGCTAAAATCTCGCTGCAGCATGAAGACGCAATGGTCAGATCGGTCAGCGGAAATTTCGATGACCAATTGTCCGAGAAAAATGTTGAGAAGCTATTTCCAGATTCTGGTGATCAAAAACATCAAGCTGCCCTTAAATTGCAGAAAACATATAAAAGTTTCCGAACCCGGAGACAACTAGCAGATTGTGCAGTTCTTGTCGAGCAAAGATGGTACACCCAAGTGCAATTGTTCTATTTCAACCTGTATGAATTTGCCTTACCAATTGCGAATTTTTTCTAGGTGGAAGCTGTTGGATTTTGCTGAACTCAAGCGCAGTTCTATATCATTCTTCGACATTGAAAGACCTGAAACTGCCGTTTCACGTTGGTCAAGAGCAAGAACCAGAGCTGCTAAGGTAAGGTCATGGTGTGGTGTCAGTTTGTGTATTTTTGTTGAAGTTCAGAAGATTAGGACTTTATCTTCATTGTCAGGTGGGGAAAGGTTTGTCAAAAGATGAAAAGGCGCGCAAACTTGCTTTGCAGCATTGGCTCGAGGCTGTAAGTTGCCCTTGCAAACCAAGTGTGAACCTTCAAAACATTATTATGAGCATTCGTTGATTAAAATTTCATTTATGTATTTTCGTATAGATTGATCCTCGACACCGCTATGGTCACAATCTGCAATTCTATTATGTTTGTTGGCTCCAATGTGACAGCAAACAGCCTTTCTTCTATTGGTAGGTTTATTTCGAACTTTTTGCCACATTGATCTTCATCATCAATTATAACCACTTTGATCTGCAGGTTGGACATTGGAGAAGGTAAAGAAGTAAATCTCGAGAGGTGTCCTCGATCAAAACTTCAACAGCAATGCATCAAGTATCTTGGTCCGGTGAGCTTACTACTTTCTATCTTTCAGAGGCCCACTTTAAAAATCTTATAGATCCAGTAATTAGAACAATTTTAACAAAGCTGGAATATGCACATTACCCCAGATATGCTTGTATCCAGAATGCTAGAGATTTGAAAGAATAGAATTAACCAAATCACTTCAATTTGACGGTGCAGACAGAGAGGAAGGCATATGAAGTTATTGTTGAGGACGGGAAGTTTATCTACAAGCAGAGTGGACACCTTCTTGATACAAAGGACGGCCCCAACGACATCAAGTGGATCTTTGTTCTCAGCGTGTCAAAGATCTTGTACGTTGGGCAGAAGATAAAAGGCACATTTCAACATTCAAGTTTCTTGGCTGGTGGTGCCACACTTTCTGCTGGACGATTAGATGTGGAAGAAGGCGTTCTAAAGGTACTGAACTGAGCAATTCCTTTCCTTTTCCTTTCAGCAAAATATTTGAAATTTTTATCATTCGGGAGAGCCTCCTAAATGAATCTAAAATTTCGCATGCAACAGGCGGTTTGGCCTCACAGTGGACACTATCTTCCAACAGAAGAGAATTTTGAGGAATTTATGTCATTTCTGAAGAAACACAATGTTGATCTGAGCGTTGTCCAGGTACGGTCACATTCGTTGATTTTGTTGTATGAATGTAAAACAAATGGCTTGTTTTGTTAAAATATGTTTACCATACGGTTCAGTCTTGTTTATATTACATAACATAGGTGGACGTAAGGTATAGATAGATACTGATTTTCATAGTTAATGAAAGCCCTCGAGCATTAAACTTATTTCAACATACATATAACTCTCAAGTAACAGGTGAAACACATTATTGAGTTACTTTTATGCTGTTTTTACAGAGAGCACCAAATAGTGACGAGGAAGTTGACTTCGGCCTTCGTAATAGCTTATCAGCACCAGATTTCAGTCGAGCTGGTAAAATCAATAGCTTCAAAAATGTAGACAGAGGAAATGGATTCAAGCAAACAATATTGCCGGGATGTAGAAATTATACATCCATCGTCCCGAAAGCTAAGATCAAAATCTTTGACATTCAAATTCCGAAAAGAGAGGTTGTAAATGAGTTGTTCAAGGATGAGCCACGTATAGTACACAGTTGCAGCACTCGATCTGTTGAAAGTCCAGATGGATATGAGACAGCAGAAGAATATTTTTCAGATTCAAAATTTTCAGTCTCCAAGGAAAACTTATTTGATGAGGATCAACAAGAAGGATATGAAGAACCTATTCCCAAGGAAAAAATCACTACGAGAATAAACTCGCATAGAAGATTGAAGTCATATCAATTGGCTAAACAGTTATCTTGTAAATGGACAACAGGAGCTGGTCCCCGGATTGGATGTGTTAGGGATTATCCTTTGGAGCTCCAAGTCCGTGCTCTAGAGGAAGTAAATTTGTCTCCAAGAAGTACGTTTTCATCTCCTCGCACAACAGCTCGATTTACTACTTCTCCATTAAGTAGAGAAACAACTATAGGTAGAAGTCCATTTGCTTCAGAATCACCAAAACTGGCTCAGGTTGCAGCAGATAATCAGAATTAGATGCAACGCTCAAGAAAAAAATTGAGTTTATTGAAGCAATTTTTTCCTGATTTATTTTTTAAGGCCGGGAATTCTTTTGCAGTTTTTAATATTATTATTTTGCACAAGTTGCTTAAGAAAATGAGTTAAAGTTGTTTAGAATTTGTTTCTTTCTGAAGAACATTTTGTAGATGCACGTTCCCACACCACAGACAACCGACAACCCAGAAGCCTGATTTACGCATATGCATCAAGAAATCAAGCAAAGCCCACACGGTATGATTAAGCTCTACAAAGTCCAACGTAAATGTCTCGAGTATGTAATAATCAAGCTGGGGTTGGCATTGTTAAATGAAGGAACATAACTGCCAGAATTGAGGTCTATCCAAAGAGTACTGCATATGGTTCATCTCTATCTATATACAATAGAAACTCTGAATGAACAGACTTAACATTTCAATCTGTTTTCTTTCTTAAATCATAATAATCAAAATTACATTAATGAGAGCATTCTTAGTGACACTGATACTTTTATTTTACGCTAATTTGAATGAGATTTTATAAAGAAAACCACCAGCATCGCCCTGGTGAAATACATGCTCCACATGCAGAATGGTAGTTCTTTCAGATTCTTCTATCAGGCAGACAAGTAGTTAGCATAAACTCCCAATGCCTTCACTAAAGTTTATGTTTATACGATTTGTGCACTCTTAGCACTCAGCCACTTCTAAAGTTCTTCCTACAAACTTGCTAGATGAAAGGGAATATAATATACTCTGCGTAAAAGAGATTCCATATAAAGCGATAGAACGAGGAGATTGCATCCTGCCAAATGCAAATATACAAGGTCAAACCAGCATTGAAGGTATTTTTTCCACTTAAACTGAAATTAAAGAAAATATGCCAAAGTACAAAATCATAGTAGTCGATTAGCATTTATGAAACTACAAAACTATCCAAGATTCTTCCAGGATGGTAATATCAAAAAGACTCGAAAACATATATCTCAATGTATGTTGGTTGCAAAATATAGCGGCTCTTGTTCGGACTTCAATATATTTTTCAAATAATAAATGTCACTAACCAAACTATTTTTAGACCAACACTATTCACTCGTGAAAAAGTTATTTGCATCACACAGTTCCATGCACTAAAATAGTTAGAACGAAGCATTCTATAAACAAAAGTAAAAGATAACTCAAGAATTACCTTGGTAAAATTTGCTCGTTCCAGTAACCATGTCTGCAATAAAAAAAAAAAAAACACGCGTAATGAAATAGGACAACCATCTAGAAGAGAAAACAGATGAAACAAGCATCAACTAGAAATCAGTGAAAAGAAGTCCCCATTTTTTTCCTGGACAAACATCAAAACAATCATGAAGTTGAAGTCTTCCATACTTCTGGAAATGTCACAAAACAAATTTAAAGAGTATATACGACTTAGATGTATGATCAAGTTATACAGAGCTTTGACTTGAGCATGATCAACAAATTCAGCTTTACTTCTTGATAGGTGACTTTGGACTCAGCTCCATCGCTCCTAAATTGACAAACTTTTAAGGGTATTCTTATTTAATGAATACTGCTGGTGCATTGATCGAAAATGGAGTTAAGCATAAGAAGAATGTTGGTGATTTCTAAGTAGGCTACATTTAGCAAATGGCTTCGGAGACTTGCTTCTGAAAAGATAATGGAAAACTGTGGATACAAGCAATAACGACATCAAATTTGGAGAGGCCTTGCAAAGTATCTTAATCATTATGTCTTTGAACCGAGCCAATTAGATATTTTCAACAAGCGAAACTGTGGGAGAAATTTGTGTTTCTCGCTTGGAAAAGGACAGCAATGAAACCAAAGTCTAGACATTTATTTGACATTCAAAGATATTCAAATGAAACATTATTGAACTCGCAAGAAATGGTTAAATTTCATTCTAGATAAATTCAAGTAGATTAAGAAAAAAGGCGCAGGAAATTGTAATTTTTATCTCAGTGAGGAGAAAATAAAGAGAATTGAGTTTCATCGAAATAAAAAAGCAACAATTAAAATCCAACTGGGAATCTGGCGAACATCATGGAATAAATAAACGAAATGTACCTGGAAAGTTAAACTCACTGCCAAGATGAGATGTGCAGCTACCATCAAGCTTCTCTTGAACGCCTGTAATATGTTCCATATATAAGCTTATATCAGTGGCGAGTAGATATGGACATATCAATGGAAAGTTGATTAAATTAAATCTCCAGAGAATGCACATGACCTGAGGCATGTAAATAGCTACCAGTATAGAACCAATGTAATTTATCAACAGAAGTCCAGATCCAAGAAATGCAATATTTCTCACACCAAGCTTGGTTGCCAAAGTAGAAATCTGAAATCTAGCAAGTTGTGTGGTATCATGAAAATTTTAACGATAAGAGAAGCATCTTATTTTATATAGGATTGCAATTGATGAAAAGGTCTGGCTTCATTCTAAGAGTCAAAATTCAAAAAGCACATGTGAAAATGAGAAGAAATGGCGGTAAAAAATTGTCAGTAATAAAAAGCTTCCGTGGGAAAAATAAACTAGAGCAATGTATGAAATATTTTGGTTTTAAAACTTACTTGCGATCACCCTCTACATCTGGAAGATCTTTAGTTATGGCAATCACGAGTGCAAATAAAGTGACAAATGTTGTAATAAAAGCCACAGGTGAGCTGCAGGAGAAAACGTGGGCAAGGAACTGACTAAATTAACTGGAAAAGTATCCATAAAGCAATTTACTATAAGAGAGTACTAGATGTTTCAGATGGCATCTTGAAGCAAACACTGCTCGAGGTAAAATCTGCCATATTCAAGAATCTTATTTCGGAGTTATCTATGCCTAGAGATTAATACAAAATGAGAACCATCCAAGCCAATTTCGAATTGCTTTTATCTGGTGAACCATAGTTCAACAGAATACATCCGTGCCGATAACAATGGATAATGAATATGAATTTACCTCCACTCAAACGATAGACCTAGAGCAGCTCTTGTGGCATAATACACACCATAATTAAGAAGGAATCCTCGCACCTGAAAAAGTAGTTTCATTCATACTATTATCAGGAATGTCGTGAATAAGGAAAAGCCTATGCCAATTATTTGGAATTGCATAAGACAGCCAGGTTAGAATACTAGCCATGACAACTTGTTGGAACCTAAACCACTAAACCCCAAGTTACTAAGCAGTAGCTATCAGCGCTTACTCAGCTGATGCAGATGAAGATGTTAAAAGATCCCACACCTTAATATGCAACGCCATTGTCAAAAATCATCAGTGGACCACCCAGTCCTAGCTCAACCAAGTGGATAATACTGAGAAGATGGCTCCAATGGCACTTGGAGAGTTAACATTTGATCATTTATTTGGGGGTAGGGATGGAAGTGGGGGTTGAATCCACTTGAAAGGGAAGTTCTCCAATTTATCTTGTGAAAAAATCTTTACATTTCCTTTAAAAAGTCCTTTCCGGTTTGAAAGTGACAGTCAGGTTTGCTTTCTGGTCAAAATATAATCTATCTCAGTTCCCCTTTGCATGACAATGCTGCATATTGTGGTATCATGGGATTACGACTAGTAACAAGACCACTCACAAAGCAGTTCTTGCTGCAGTAGTCTACGCCTGACAAATTGATAGGAATGAACTACTCAGAAGAAACAAAAGATTATGTATGCAGCATGGAGGATAAAGAACCATACCGTGGCTATAATAAGAAATGCTATGACAGGATATCTCTTCATCCGAAAGGGGGGAACAGAATAGATGGTGCCAAGAAATAGACCAAGGCAATAAAGACCAGTTATAAAAGGACCAAAGTTCATCCCAACAATTAAAAGGCCAACAACAGCAAGCAGTAACACCATGAACCATGCAGATCGTTCTGAAAGATCTCCTGCAGCTATGGGTAAATAAGGTTTGTTTACCCTGCAGTTGAAGCCAGGGCAAAACAGTGAAAGGAATGTCTCCAACAAGTAGAAAGAAAACAGGTTAAACATTGTTACACTTTGGAGGACCTTCCAATATATATATATATATATATTGAAAGGAACAAAGACTACATGTGTCTGTGTTTCTTACTTGTCAATCCCAACGTCATATATCTGATTGATGCCTACTATATAACCATTTCCACATATAAGAGCAAGAAGTCCAGAAAATGCCTTCAAAAATAAAGGCCATCTTATCAAATTTGGGTTCTCGACTAAAGCTCTAGTCACCAAAGAGCTGTCAACAAACCATTGATTAAAATAAGTTTGCAGCAAAACAAAAAATGTGCTTCATGAAAGACATTTTTATTCAGAAGTTATGGTATGCAAGCATAAATACTACTCACACAGATCCTAACGCTGTTCCACGTATGGTATGGGGCCTTAGAAATCTCCAGAAGGCATCTTTGAACTGCGAAACTTTGTTCAGCAGTGGATCAGATCCAGCAGCACCAACTTGAGAACAGGCCTGACAGTATCATCTTTCATGTAAATGCTATCAATATATATTTGCAATTTGGTTAAGCCATGTAAGTAAAAAAAAAAATATGTTTTATCCCATTCAAATTTATGTAAAGGATAAGGTGGCCAAATTTGCAATAAGTCACGTCATCAGCAATTCGATACTGCATGCAGAGTTGATCTGGTAATCATTTGAGTTAACCTGTTATTCAAACAAAACCAGTGGAGCGGGTTTCACATAAATGCATGTTCTCTTTCATTTTATCGAGCACTAGCAGTTCATAATCAAACAGGAATTTTGGTCTTAAACAAATCATATTGGGTAAAAAGGCCACACACGACATCAACCATAGACCCAAATCGAATTCTATTTTATATTTCCTGCACTTTCACAGTTTCCACGAAATTGGAACCCATAAAATCCAATTCATTTTTTAACTTCAACCTAATTACCCCCATTTATACTAAATTTAAGCAGTCTCCTTCTTAGAGATTATGTAGCTGAGACATATTGTGTGGAAAAGGAAAACACTGATAAGCAATAAAAACTTTGTTTGCTTGAATTCAAAGTATCAAGATTTAATGTGCTTGGTCATTAATGAAACTCAATTCAGTGCCAATTGTGCACACAGAATTCAAGGTGATTAAGGTGTACAATCAAGTTCCCTTTACACGCACGAAATGATATATTTTAGCACAAAATGACACGATGCGCACAAAGTTACTCTCTTAGTTCTTAGTATTCTCGATATAACAAAGATAACTTGTTAATATTAAAGCTTGAATTTTGGGCCATAAAATGAGGAAATCTTATATACCCAGATAGAATGACGCCTGTGGTGGGCAATTTGAATGTTTCTTGAGAAGCTTTTGTGATTTTGCACATTTAAAGAAGGCGACTTCTTGGAAGATTTGAGCAGTGAGCAGCCAGCCTTGCAAGTGGGCTTAATGGAAAATTTACTGTATCCAGAAGCTGAGTTTGTATAATTGGCTGAAATTCCTACTGAGGAACATGGTGAGAACGGAAGATTCATACCTTGTTCAAGATCAGGATTTTAGTTTCAGGTTTTTTTCTGTAGTTTCGTCTACGATATCTCGGTTTGAAGTTGGAAATTGTGCATCTCCAACTCGGATGAGACTTGTGGTCTGGGGACAGTGTAGATGGTAGTGTTTGTAAATGGAATGTAAAAACCGAAAGTAAATAGTAATTAAGGAGATAGTAAAAAAAAAAAAAAAAATAATAATAACAATAATAAAATAAAAAATGAAGAAGAAGAAGAAGAAGAAGAAGAAGAAGAAGAAATGAGAGATTAACGTAAACATTTTCGATATAGATAGTGGCGAATGTAGATATTTTGAATTAACAGCGCACAGTTGAACTTGCAAAAAATACAAATTCAAGTTTGTTTTTCTTTTTATCTTCAACATCATTTTCATTACTTTTATCTCAAATATTCCTTTCATTAATATTGTGATCATCAAAAGAAAACGCATATTTAAGTTTAAATTATTTTTTCATCACAATCAATTCAAGTAAAAGTACAAAAATTACAACAATTCTGAATGTTACCTTATCAACTGCATTCTAGTCCAAACAAAGGCTAAAATTTACCCAAATATACATATACAAAATTAAATAAAAATGTAGTTCCTAATTCATTCACTCATATTTATTTTCATTAAATTTTTTTGAACCTTTAAATATTCTTTTAGAATTTATGTTTAACTAAATTCCTAGTAATCATAAAAAATCCTCTTCAATTAAAATCATAAAGCCCTAATATGTTGATAACAAGCAAATTATCAAAATTGCTCTGATACCACTTGTTGATCCCAAAAGTGAATCAAGAATTGAGATTAATGACGTTGTATGAAAAATGTAACAAGATTAAAGTAAAGAATAAAAGAGAGTTAAATCAGAGGAACAATATTTTATTATAACGACAATATGGAGAGAAAATTACAATACAATAATTTTGGTTTGAACTAAATTGAAAGAAGATGCTACTATTTATAGGTACATACCATATCATAAAGATGGAAATAATATAGAATAAGGAAATAATATATTTCAAATATAATCACGTGAAACAAGGAAACAATATTTTTTCCTGATTTGGATTATAAACCCAACAATCTTCACCTTGGAAAAAGGAAATAATATATTTCAAATAAAATCACGTGAAATAAGGAAATAATATTTTTTTCTTGATCTGGGTTATAAATCCAACAATCTTCACCTTGAACCCAAATTTCGGTGCAACGAATGAAACTCCAGAATTTCTCTATCTAGAAAAATATGTCAAATTGCATCGAAATAACTGAAGTTTTCAAAATAGAAGCCAAAACTCTCCATCACAAAACATATTCCTCTGCACGGCGTTCACAAGCAACACCCGAACCATACTCTCGGGTTCCCAAAATTTCACCAATGAATTATTGTTGACTAAATAGGGTTGAAGTACATCCTATAGAAGAAATCACATCAAATGCCCAATCAGAAGGCTCCTTGACGGAATTGTTACCTTCAATGATTCCAAAAGCATCGCAAACATCACTGTACCTACGCTCCATAAGTCCAACCCTGACAACTGAAAATAGTGTATCTGCTAAAATTGGTGGCAAAGTGGAATTACCAATGCTCCTCTGAATAATGTTCTGAACTAATCCAAAGCCCGTCACAAGAGGTACTGTACCAAATTGAATATCCACTATGGTACTGAACTTGTCCAGATGTCTCTTAACTGATTTTACGCTTCCCTACAAGATGTAGAATTGAGACTTTTTTCGTCCCTCTAGTACAACCCGGACACCCCATCGGACTTTCAAAACTCCATCTCCACCAGAGAATTTATACCATTTTGAATAAAGGGTACTCAACGAGATGAGATTTATTTTTAGGTCTGGAATATGTCAAACTTGATCAATTGTTCTGACCGTTCCATCCTACAACTTTAATCTGTGTAACATCCTTACTTTTAAATTATATTTTCATATGGACTAAAATTAATATCGATTTTTTTATTTTTTATTTTTAAATGAGACGGCCCATGTCTAACCTTGTTGACACACTAAGGTCCAAAGGTTAATATGATAAATCTAACCCACTTAATTGCATAAAATGATTTATTATCTTAGGCATATTTTCACAAAATTTATCATAACTTTCATTTGGGTTCGTTACAAAAAAACGAGCGTTTTTTTTTAACGACTCGGATATCTGTACCTAAGTCGTTAACTTACGTATTGTTCGCTTTGGGTGGGCCTTGCGCCCACTTACTCCTCACGACTTTCTGTCGCGTCCTCCATGATTCAAACTCATAACCTTCTCCTTAAGTAAGACTTAAATTGAATCCTGGTACCGATTGGACAACTTGCCCAATTGATACTAGGAAAATATTATGATACTATAATACTATAATACAATTATATTTTTTAGAAAATTTATTTGGCAACCGCATAAGCATCACTCGGTCAATCTTCCATGTGTCGACACTAACCGTTCTAATATGAAATTTTAGTAAAAGTGAGTGTTTTGAAAACACTCAGTAAGAATACGTGCACATTCTTATTCTCATGATATAAAACTAAAACTAACATAGCATACCGTCACTTCTTAAATTTAGAGTTTAAGGAATTTCTTAAAAATTTTCACATCCCGTAGGATTTAACATACTTGACCAAATGGTTCATCCCGTAGGATTTAACAACTTTGATCTAACGGTCTATCCCGAAAGATTTAACATAAGATTCGACCCGAAGGCCTCATAGCATTTTATGCCAAAATTATACAAACATCAAGGAATAAGAATTTACCACTTTGCACGATGTATCCTTACCTCAAAAAAAAATATTCAAGAATTTATCTGAAAATATGATTGTCGACTAATAATAAAAGAAATTATTTCTACCAAAGTATGCGTGTGTCAAACTATAAGAAATGAAATTGTGTTTTAAAAGAAAACAATTATTTTTTCTTAATTCCAAATTATTTTATTTAATACGAGCTACAAAATGAGTATAATATTTGATATATTTCATCAACATCTAAAATACTTAAATATTCGACCCAAATAGTTTTCGATAAATTCTAAAAGTGTACGTAAGGAAATAAATCATTTATGCAATAAGCGGGTTGAGTTTACCCCTTCAACCTTCAGACTTTTAGTGTGACGACAAATCTAGACATAGACTATTTCATTTACTAAATGATCAATATGAAGTTTAGGCCCATATGAACAATAGTAAAAAAGATCGGGGTGTCACATCCCTTCCCTTTTAAATTAATTTCATCCTCAAAATTATCTTTTTTTTAATTAAAAAGCTCTTAATACTTTACCTTTATTTCCTTTTCTTTCTAGTTATTTTATAAGTTCCAACCACATTTATCACATAAATGTTTAATTATGCTTTATCTTTATTAGTCAACTTATAAATTATGCTTATGTAAAATGACTAATCATCATATCTTCACGTATAGTAAACGGTATAATAACTTACATAATATATTTCATTCTAAACATCATAAGCATTTCGTGAAGTCAAACTTCAATAATTCATAAATCACGCTTGAAAGTAAAATGAAACATAATGTTTCATCCCTAACTTGGGCTCATCGATGGTGGTAGATTGACGAGCGCTAGATACCATGGGTCTCATTTCAATACTTGTTTAAGATTTAATTAAATCCTCATCACATATAGTACAAAATTTTTTATTTTTATTTTTTAAACTACTATGATACATTAAAAGTTTAATAACATGTAATTTTTATGAAGATATAATTAGTGAATAATCACGTGAAAATTTAAATCTTTACAATTTCTTAATGTAGATAAGGACTAATTTATATCAATAAATATAAAACTACATCGTTAAACTTGAAATGAAGAGAAAACATTGATGTATTATAGTATCATAATTTTTATTTTTTTAATGCAGACTAATAAGTCTTCAAAATAAATTATTATTCTAAAAAAAATTTATACATGTAAATCAAGAAATATACATATATTTAAAAAAATGACGAGTTTACAGAATCGACTAAACTTGTGTTCTGATACAATTCTGTAACGCCCCGAGATCTTTTTCATTATTATTATTACATAAAAATAGCTCGAGGTGTTACCAACATCCTTTTTTTTTTTTTTAGTTTAAGCGAAAATATCACTTTAATTATGTGTTGAAATGCATAAAATAGCTATTAAACAATGTGAAATAAAATTCAATATGAAGATGTTTTTCAAATAAAAGTTTGACAATTATATTTTCTAGAAAATTTACATGGCGACCACATAAGCATCACTCGGTCAATCTTCCACGTGTCGACACGACCCATTCTAATATGAAATTTTAGTAAGAGTGAGTATTTTGAAAACACTCAGTAAGAATACGTGTACATTCTTATTTGCATGATGTAAATATAAAACTAACATAACATACCGTCACTTCTTAAATTTAGAGCTCAAGGAGTTTCTTAAGAATCCCCATATCATGTAGGATTTAACATACTTGATCAAACGGTCTATCCCGTAGAATTTAATATCTTTGATCTAACGGTCCACCCCGAAGGATTTAACATAAAATTCAACTCGAATGCCTCATAGCATTTTATGCCAAAATTATACAAATATCAAGGAATAAGAATTTACCAGTTTGCACGATGTATTCTTACCTCAAAAAAAAATATTCAAGAATTTCTCTGAAAATATGATTGTTGGCTAATAATAAAAGAAATTATTTCTACCAAAGTATGCGTATGTCAAAATGTAAGAAGTGAAATTGTGTTTTAAAAGAAACTTTAACATATATATATATATATATATACAAATATCAAGGAATAAGAATTTACCAGTTTGCACGATGTATTCTTACCTCAAAAAAAAATATTCAAGAATTTCTTTGAAAAAGAGTTTTATAGAATTAATTAAATTAATTATTATGAATTAATCATGTTTAATTTATTAAATCAAAACATTTCGTTAGTAACCATACAGAATCCAAATGTAAGTTTTATTTTTTTTATTTTTATTGTTTTTATATTAATAGAATATAGGATTTAGATTACTTTTCATTCCTATTAAATAATTCGGACATAACTAGTACACAATTATTTTTTCTTAATTCCAAATTATTTTATTTAATACGAGCTACAAAATGAGTATAATATTTGATATATTTCATCAACTTCTAAAATACTTAAATATTCGACCCAAATAGTTTTCGATAAATTCTAAAAATGTACGTAAGAAAATAAATCATTTATACAAATAAGCGGGTCAAGTTTACCACTTCAACCTTCGGACTTTTAGTGTGACGACAAATCTAGACATGGACTATTTCGTTTGCTAAATGATCAATATGAAGTTTAGGCCCATATAAACAATAGTAAAAAAGATCGGGGTGTTACAATCTGACTCGATAGATTTCAGCAATACGACAAGACTGGTTGTTTTTCATCACAACTCCGCTTTGTTTGACAGTCTCATATGTCTGAAAGAATTTTGATAGAAGTACATATGGGCCCCGTTTAGTAGGGATTTTTTGCCCAAAAAAATTGATTTTTTGACCGTTATTTTACTATTCAAGCCGTAATTTTTGACTTCTTCTCTCACATGTGGACCCCACTTTTCTTCTAACGGTCAAAAAATCAATTCTCAAAATTCCTACCAAACGGGCCCATGATGCGAACACGTTAAATCGATAATCCACTCCTCGTTAGATTTAGACTCCACGTCAGATACTACGGTCAATATCACATCACCGCCATCTGAAAAATCCTTAATAACATTAGTCGTGTCCGAATTGCATAATTGCCCCATATGATTTGCAGCTAAATTACCTTTAGCTTACAACTTATTGCAATCTTTCTTAACGTGTCCTTTTTTCTTGCAGTAGAAACAGTACAAATTGCTGAAATTCGTCCTTAATCTACCCCTCTATCGATCACCATGAGATACCAAAGCTTCATCATTCCTTGATGTAGCTCCAATCAAATACTTCATCTTCTCTTTTGAGAACAGAGCATTGTAGGTATCCCCAATGGTCAAAGTATCATGACTGTTCAAAATGCTGTCCTGAAACGACGAATAAGAGGCGGGTATCGAATATGACAGGATCAAAGCCAGATCCTCCTCATCATGCTTAACCTCCAATGTCTCTAAATCTGCAACTATTTCCTTAGACACAGCAATGTGGTTTTTCAGTGACCCTCCTTCTGCTATGCAATGGGTACAACTGTTGTTTTAGAGTGAGTTTACTAGTGAGACTTTTAGCCATGCATAATTGTTCTAATTTCAACCACAAAGCAGCCATTGTTTTCTTCTTCAAGACGTCTTATAGAATATTATTGAATAAATGAAGATTAATCTGCGATAAATCCTTCCGATCCCTCCGTTGTTTTTCCTCCATTATCCAATTAGTTGGCATCTTTTCAAAATTCAGCAACGCATCGTCCAAATCCAACTGCGCCATAAGAGCTCTCATTTTTACTTGCCACAAAGAAAATCTTGTATTGCGATCTAACAGCAAAATATCATATTTCAAAGTAGCCATTTCTGAAAAAATCCCAATCAATTCATGAAGCACCTGCAGTCTAACTCTGATACCACTTGTTGATAACAAGCAAATTACTAAAATTGCTCTGATATCACTTATTGATCCCAAAGACGACGCAAGAATTGCGATCAATGACGTTGTATGAAATATATAACAAGATTATAAAGATGAAAAAAGATTAAAGTAATGAACAAAAGAGAGTTAAAGAAGAGGAACAATATTTTATTATAACGACAATATAAAGAGAAATTACAACACAGCAATTTTTGATTGATCTAAACTTAAAGAAGATGCTACTATTTATAAGTACATACCATACCAATTAAAGATAAAAATAATATGGAATAAGAAAATAATCTATTTCAAATAAAATCACGTGAAAATAAGGAAACAATATTTTTTTTCCTAATTTGGTTCATAAACCCAACATGATAATCATAAAATATTCTCTTCAACTAAAATCAAAACAACAAGGGAAGAGATATCATTAGAGAAAATACATACAGACATAGCAATATATGAAGAAAAATTTGAAAATGTAAGTATTACTTTTTTCATTTTATTATTCATCTTTGTTTTGTCTCTTGCATTACAGATGGTCAAGTCGTTATCATAGGAAATAAAGACCTTTTGCATTCTTTCTCTTGTTTTAACTTACTCGCTAGAAAGCCTAAATGTTACGGCTAAACCTTGCACATATTATCAATAAATGTAAGAATAGTTGTGTGGATTACATGGTAGGCGAGTATACAAAGTTCACGCAAGTTTGAAGAATTCTAACTTGATATGCCGACACAATCATTTGAATTTTTTTTTGCCTGGAACTTGTGCTCTGAAGTTCTTGATTTTGTAGTTCAAGCCTAGGCTTTCCTTTCGATCTTAGCTTTCTTGCCAAAAAATATAACCAACTTATTATTATCTCAAAAGTTGATTTTTATCAAATACAAAGATGAATATTTGCCAATCAAATATAACGGACCAATTCATGTGACAACCGTTGAGAGTGGACGACGGAAATCTATTTCAGAAGATAGTTATATTTGTGTCATTGCCTATTACTTTTCTTTTATGAACGGTTTAGAAAAGTTGAGATGAAACAAAATAATGGATGGGTCATTCATTAGCATTTATGGCATTAAATTTATTTCACTTATATCTAATTTTTGAGCTGCTTGTCAGCCTTTTTGTAAGCTTTTGAATTTGAAAATAAAGTGGAACCAATCTTGATGATAAGAATTCGAATCAAAATGTTACTAAGGCACCATGGGTCAATCTGTTTAAAGACAATCAAAATATTGGTGAAGGCTTCAAGCTGAAATTAGTCGTTGACCAGCCCCAAAAAATCACTTTGGACGAACAAGATATGGATTATGTGGAAACTTCTTTGGGGTTCTGTCTTGTTGGATATTTTGTAGGTAGATTCCCGGGAAAGACTGCATTACTTCAAATGTGTGACACTTGGAAGGTCAAGTACCAATATTATGTACATGAAAGTGGGTGGTCGATCTTCAAGTTTGAGAATGAGGCTTCTAGATCGAGGGTGTTGCATGGAGGCCCTTATCTTGTGCTCGGTAGACCGCTAATGTGTCCCATTATTTTGAATTTGTTGACGAAGACATTAGTACTATGCCGGTATGGATCAAACTATGGGATTACCTTTGGATCTTTGGAATCCAAAAGCATTGGGAAAGATCATTTCCAAGATTGGAAATCCTATTTGCACGGACAAGCTCACATCTACCAAAGGTAGATTATCTTATGCTTGCTTGCTCGTGGAAGTTGATGCGTCTAAAGAGTTGGTGAGAACCGTTGAAATGAATTTACCAATGGGGAAGTTGAAAGTGCAACAGGTAATATATGAGCGTGAGCCTAAATTTTGTGGAATTTGTAAAATGTTTGGGCACAAAACAGCTATATGCTCCTCGAAAAATCAGACTACAATAATAAATGAGGATGGGGACGCAAATACTAAACAGGTCCTAGTTGTGGAGCCTAAAACACAGCAAAATTAGCATGGGATAAATGGATAGATTGTTGAAAAAATCTACAGTAGTATCTGGGAAAAATGGATGGATTTTTGTAAATTTGGTGCAGGTGGGTTCGATTGGACAGAAAGATATACAACATATTGATGCATAGCACAGGCAGCTTATACTACACCCAAAAGAGGCTTTTACAGCGGTCAAAAACCGCAGCAAAAAACCTTTTGCAACGTTTTAGCGTGTGTTGTGGAGATCAATATCACCATTGAGAGAAGAGTTTTTGCAATGTTATGTTTATTCAACGTTGTAAAAGTTAATTTTTTGCAACATTTAAACAACGTTGCAAAAGACTGGATAATTGTAATAGGCTTTTTTTTTTTTTTAAATTTTTTTTTGATTTTTTTTACACCAATTTATATAAATTGATTTGCAAAATTGAAAATAATACTTTGTGAACAAATTTTGGAATTGCATAAAAAATGATAATTTCATTACAAATTTTTGAATCAATACACTTGAACATTAAAACGTGATACAACACCAACTAATTAAAAAAAGGACAATCACTACCTACAAAAATAATATACAAAAATGACTCCGTACAAAAATTTAATCACCTCTTCCACAAATAATATAACAAAAAAAATAAAAATGGAACAATGACTGCTTACAAAAATTTGAGTAGACAATCCAAATTGCACCATGTAAATCTCCAACTAGTCTCAAGAACAAAATGACTCCGTACTTTGACAGCCACCGGATCCCAATTCTCTAGCTTTTCAAAGATTCACTATGTCAACTTTCCAACTTTTTCTTAGAACCTACAATGCATATGACCAGATTCTAAGACAGAGAACTGAATTAGAAAAATGGTCACAAGGCATTAGGTTGGCTAATTTTCAAATTGACTTAGATTCAAAATTTTATGATATCCAGTTATCTCAATGAAGCATCTTACCTGCATATCATAACCAAATAAATAAAAAGACACTAAACATGGATGAAATAAAGAGAAATAAGACTTTCCAGATAAGCATAAATTATGCTTAATATAACCCAATCAAGAAAGATTAACTGCCCCACACATTTAAGTAGAAATTATCCTTATTATAACCCAATCAAAGAAATACTGACTGCCCCATATAATAAAAGATAATCATTAGGCTGTGCTTATCTCAATATTACCAAACTCTTGTTAATATCATCCCCGCAATTTAATATGTCATGAAGTGATAGGTTTTGTAGTGATCACTGTATTGAACCAGGTGTAGAGGCGTTAGCTTCCTCTGGGGCAAGACGCAAGCCTCAAGGAGGGTATACCTTGTCTATCTTGAGGCATATACCTTGATACACGGGCCATAGTAAGTCAAGGCCACAAAGGGTAAGCCTCAAATGTATGCCTCTGACAAATTTTATGAGAACAAAAAACAGTATCTTGAACAATGCCTTTTGTTTTAGGAATCTCAAACAATGTCAATATTTATGGTGTTCCAAATGTTTCACAAATTAATAAGCATTAACGCACGAAAAATGCAAATTTTAGAAAGTTAACTTCTAAATTTCTAAAGATACTTAGGAAAACAAAAGCCATACCTTGTATGCAGGGCCAAAAGCAATCCCAGTTAATTTGGCTTGGTCTTTTTTGGCCGATTTTTCAACAACTCATCCTGCTTCACCTCAACAATCTGCTCTGGAGCATCATTCTATCCCTCTTCCCAGGCACTTGCAATCCACTTTCAGCCAATCCTTATCCCTCAGCCACTGCAGTTGAACCAGATCCATCAATCCAGTTACTCTCATACTGCCCATAATCCCCATAACCCGCACCATAATTTGCATAATCCCCAGCTTGCCCAGATTACAAAGTTAGTATATACACCACTTTCATATTACCACTAGTCAAGCACCAAGATTCATCAGTTAAAAAATACACACAGATCTATTACCAAATAGTGTCTTGTTTGACCTCATGGCCATCAACCATCTAATTTTATATTGAATTGATTGTACTTGCATAGATAGAATTCAACATAGAGGCAAGATGCCCAATACAATTTTAAAATGTTTATAGTTATTTCCATTTGCAAAAATATTTTACAACTTAACATGCAGAATGTAGACCAACATAGTATGCACCATGCATTTAAACTTTCCACCACTAAGTATGACAAAGCTTACAACATCATCTACAAATATGAGCTTCAAAGAAGAGAGATATTTATTTATTTAGATTTGACTACAGCATCATCTATTCTTAGAAAGCAAGAATTCTACACAGCAAAGTTAGAATACCAATAAAAGACAAAATTATCAACAAAAAGTAGCTTCTAGTAACTTTTAACACCATGGAGCATAAAGTTTATCTAAATGATCAAAACTATCTAATAAAGCAGAAATACAATAAAAATTAGCAACAAAATCCAAGTAACTAAATGCAGCGCAAACAAAGAAATACAACAACGATTAATGAACAAAATAGAAAAGAAAACAACAAACCCAAGATATTCTTCTACACAAAGCTAACACAATTTCAAAATATATCCTCTGAAAAAGGAAAGGATGGAATTCTAACAGCACAACCAATAATTAGCATAATAATAATAATAACAGCAGCGGCGGCGGCGGCGGCGGCGGCGGCGGCGGTAGTAATAAGTCTCAGTCGAATTCAACAATAATACTTATCTTGGGACATTATTTTAGCCAAATCCATAGAACAAAATCTATTCAAAGCTAACCCAATGAAAAATTCTATACAGAACGAAGAAATCTATAAACAAATACAAATATAGCGATAAGCAGCGTTGGCGGCGGCGGCAGCAGTAGTAATAAGTCTGAGTCGAATTCAACAATAATACTTATCTTGGGACATTATTTTAGCCAAATCCATAGAACAAAATCTATTCAAAGCTAACCCAATGAAAAATTCTATACAGAACGAAGAAATCTATAAACAAATACAAATATAGCAATAACCATTGCCCAAAAAAAGATCTAGAACATAACAACTACTATTAAAGATATCTACGAATTTCCAAAAACCCAATAAAATTTTTCCAAAATAGCCTACTTCTACCCTTTGGATGAAATCAAGGAAGTTTCAGTATGCAAGAAGACATGCTCAAATTGCTCAAGTGCGCTTACCAGAATTATTGCAGTCGATTGATGACCACTGTCCTGGAGCATATTGGAATGAAGTCGAACTCGGGGACGAAAATTGGTCTGGGAGGAGATGAAACAGCCGTCTGAGGTAAAATGTGTAAAAAAAAATAAAAAAAAAAAATTTAAAAATCTTGAGCTCGTGGGCCATCTGAGGTAAATTCATAGGGACTGTTTAGAGATGAAACAGCTGTCTGTGGTAAATTCGGGGGCGAAAATTTTACCTCAAACGGCTGATTACCGATGGATGTTTCCCATCGACTTCTTCTCTTCTAAGTATGACAAGGCTTACAACACCGACAAAAGATCAACAATAACCAACGAGAAGATCAAAGTGCTTGGGTTGAGGGAGTTGTTCTACGGGTTTGGGTTTTGTCGGGGAGGAAAGAAATGAGGGAGGCATGAGGAGAGAGAGGCGTAGGGTTTGGCTTATTTTGGGTTTCTTTCATTTAAATTCATATATAACTTATTTGGGAAATTTTTTGAATGTTTTCGCAACGTTTATTAAATGTTTCGAAAAATAAAACTTTTCGCAACACTTAGTAAATGTTGCGAAAATGTTCTTTTTGCAACATTCACTTGGACGTTGCAAAAATTTCGTTTTTCGCTACGTTTATCAAACGTCTGGTGAACGTTGCTAATGTCGCCTTTTCGCATATTGAGTATTGCGAAAAATTCGCAACATTTAATAAAAGTTGCAAAAAATGGAACTTTTCACAACACTCAATAAACGTTTCAAAAGGCGACATTAGTAACATCCATTTAAAAAATTTTGCCAAAGCTCAATTATGTTAACCAATGACAACATTCACTTATTAAAATTTTGTGATAGATTATTTTAGCAATACTTAACTACCGAATGTTACCTTTTATGTGTTGCAAATGATTATTTTTGGTGTAGTGTTATTGAACTGG